TCATTGCCACCATCTAATGGTGAAATAATGTAACTTCTGTTGCTGTTCAGGGACTATTTTTTCCAGCTGAAGGAAGCCTTTGTGATTTTACTTCATGAAAGTTGCATTGATACATATTTTTTTGGCTTTAATTGTTGCATCGTGTGGTAACTCCGCTTCGCGCCTAACAACACCCTTTAGCCAGGGGCGTAATTTGTGGGGGGGATGGGGGGGATATAACCCCCCCAATATTTAAATCTATGCATTACAACCCCCCCATTATTTATACCATGATCACAATATCAGGAGGCATACCCAAACTTTAACCCCCCAAATGTTCAAACCAAATCTACGCCCTTGCCTTTAGCCGTGACTTATTTACGATACAGCACAGCCTCTCGTACCTTATTGCTTACATGTTATGTGCTTTGAGACATGAGGTAAATTAAAGGTGACATATTTTGCCCCTTTTCACAAGATGTAATATCTATGGTGTCCTCAAAATGTGTCTGTGAAATTACAGCTCAAAATACAATCCAGATTATTTATTATAGCTTGTCAAAGTTGCCCCTTTTTGGGTGTGAGCAAAAACGCACCATTTTTGTGTGTGTGTCCATTTAAATGCAAATGAGCTGCTGCTCCCCAGCTTCGGATACTCCGTCAATAACAAAACACGCGAATTTCAGACAAATTTCAGAAATAAGTAGCGGAGGGCAGCCTTACGGAGAGACTCAGGAAGAGGTTGCAACTTTTAGACTTAACCTGGACATTTCTGAATGGTTAGTGGATACAGTTATGTAGTTGTTGTGGAGTTATATTGATTCACCTCATCAACTTGCATGTGCCGTCATGTTTAACTTTTACACAAGTTGACAGTTCCCCGAGCTCTTTATAAGACAGCTGTGACATTTTTTGGTCAAATAGTGCTCTGTGCAGCCAACGACAGAACGGTTTGAGTGCTTTGCTCGAACTTTTGCCATTGCGTTAGAACTGGTTTAGAACTCTCATCTCGTGGCGCTTTGCAGACTCTGCTGTGTGAGTTCATGTGTTTTGAAGGAGGTGTGGCTTTGGAAACACTCTGAAGAGGGGGTGGGATCTCACGCTTTCAAAGCTAGCCTGCCATTGCTAGCCTCTCCGCAATTGCCTACCCTACCTTTAAGCAAAACGTAAAATAGTTACGAATTGCTGTGAGATTGTCCAGAAGTTAAAAATATGTGTGAATTTAACAAAGATTTAATGTAACTCAAGTGCTTAACTCCATTAATGAGAGGGGCCCATTTTGTGTGAAGATGAAAACAGAGGTCTTTCGTTACAAGACCTCTTGCACGTGTTTGGGTCTTGGTGAGGTGATTTTTTACTTTCCTAAAGCACTAATGCCAATGAACAATTATGTGAGAACAGCCAAATGAACACTGGCATACCAAAAACACCAACTCTACAATCAAGCAATTTTCTTTGTTTTTCCACAGAAACAAAGAAAGAAGTCTTACCAAAGTGTGAGATTTATTTGGTGATAAACAGGGAAGACATCCCATACATTCAATGGTTAAATCAGCACACTTAACTTTATGCATGGCCACATTCTCTAAGACCCCCCATAAGGTGATGAGGACCCCCCCATATGGCCAGAACATTTGCCATCAGGGCGAGTTTGGTGACAGTTTTCAGCACACACTGCAGGCTTGGGCTGTTCGGACGCCGGCTTCACTGGAGGCTTGGGCTGCTCGGACGCCGGCTTCACTGGAGGCTTGGGCTGCTCGGACGCCGGCTTCACTGGAGGCTTGGGCTGCTCGGACGCCGGCTTCACTGGAGGCTTGGGCTGCTCGGACGCCGGCTTCACTGGAGGCTTGGGCTGCTCGGACGCCGGCTTCACTGGAGGCTTGGGCTGCTCGGACGCCGGCTTCACTGGAGGCTTGGGCTGCTCGGACGCCGGCTTCACTGGAGGCTTGGGCTGTTCGGACGCCGGCTTCACTGGAGGCTTGGGCTGTTCGGACGCAGGCTTCACTGGAGGCTTGGGCTGTTCGGACGCAGGCTTCCGAGGACGGGACGGCACGACGGTCATCGATACAGAAATTTGCAGTATCGCCCATCACTAGTTCACGGTCAGGGACTATTTTTTCCAGCTGAAGGAAGCCTTTGTGATTTTACTCCATGAAAGTTGCATTGATACATATTTTTTTGGCTTTAATTGTTGCATCGTGTGGTAACTCCGCTTCGCGTCGTGCCTAACAACACCCTTTAGCCGTGACTTATTTACGATACAGCACAGCCTCTCGTACCTTATTGCTTTCATGTTATGTGCTTTGAGACATGAGGTAAATTAAAGGTGACATATTATGCCCCTTTTCACAAGATGTAATATCTATGGTGTCCTCAGAATGTGTCTGTGAAATTACAGCTCAAAATACAACCCAGATCATTTATTATAGCTTGTCAAAGTTGCCCCTTTTTGGGTGTGAGCAAAAACGCACCATTTTTGTGTGTGTGTCCATTTAAATGCAAATGAGCTGCTGCTCCCCAGCTTCGGATACTAGTGATGGGCGATACTGCAAATTTCTGTATCGATCCGATACCAAGTAAATACAAGGCCAGTATCGCCGATATCGATACCGATACCGATACTTTTTCATTTTAAAAGCATGCATTTGAACTTGTATGCACTTTCCTGTGTGTCATGATTTATGAGGTGAATGCATCATTAATATGCTAAATCTGAACACTTTTTCATGACTACTAGGCCTAAATATTTTGTGATTTGTGCTCTCAACTCCCCTTTAATTAGTCAGTGACTTTTACAAAACTACCCTAATTATAGTACTAGCCTACTAGTACTAGCCTACTGTTCAAAAGTTTGGGGTCTGTAAGATTTTTATTTCTCTTAGTAAAAACTGTAATATTACAATTTAACAATTTAACATAGGCTATCTGTTTTCTATGCCATAGTAAACTGTAATTTATTCATATGATCAAAGGTGAATTTTCGGCATCATTACTCCAGTCATGATGATAATTCATTTTAATATGCTGATTTGCTGCTCAGGAAACATGTCTTATTATTATCAATGTTGAAAACAGTTTCATATTTTGTTGGAAACCATGATACATTTTATGCAGAATTATTTGATAAACAAAGTTGAAAGAACAGCATTTATATGAAGTAGATTTTTTTTAACAGTGTAAAACCCTTGACTGTCACTTTTGATCAATTTAATGCATCGATCCTTGTTGAATAAAAATATTAATTTCATAAAAAAGATCTTACTGACGTCAACATTTTAAACCGTTATGTACAGTTTTGGTTTGTTTATTGCGAAATTACTCCCGATTGTTTCTCTGTCATCTAAGCAAGGCTTCGTTTCCCAAACGCACTGGGCCTGTGAGCTCAGCGAAGCACCAGCATCGAACACTCTCTGTGATTGATTGGTTTCGTCTTGTATACAGATGACTAGGAGAAAAGGTTCTATCCGGTTCTATACTACACAATTACCCGCTAACATTCGCTTATTTTTCCACTTAGAAGCTTATTTTACGCACTGAATTGCGTGCTAAATTAATAAAAAATTACTGGTAAAAGAAAATACACATTTGGATCGATATTTTTATGCGAGGATCGATCCTTTTCGATACCACGTCAGCATCGAAGTATCGATACTTCAGGATCGATCCGCCCATCACTATCGGATACTCCGTCAATAACAAAACACGCGAATTTCAGACAAATTTCAGAAATAAGTAGCGGAGGGCAGCCTTACGGAGAGACTCAGGAAGAGGTTGCAACTTTTAGACTTAACCTGGACATTTCTGAATGGTTAGTGGATACAGTTATGTAGTTGTTGTGGAGTTATATTGATTCACCTCATCAACTTGCATGTGCCGTCATGTTTAACTTTTACACAAGTTGACAGTTCCCCGAGCTCTTTATAAGACAGCTGTGACATTTTTTGGTCAAATAGTGCTCTGTGCAGCCAACGACAGAACGGTTTGAGTGCTTTGCTCGAACTTTTGCCATTGCGTTAGAACTGGTTCAGAACTCTCATCTCGTGGCGCTTTGCAGACTCTGCTGTGTGAGTTCATGTGTTTTGAAGGAGGTGTGGCTTTGGAAACACTCTGAAGAGGGGGTGGGATCTCACGCTTTCAAAGCTAGCCTGCCATTGCTAGCCTCTCCGCAATTGCCTACCCTACCTTTAAGCAAAACGTAAAATAGTTACGAATTGCTGTGAGATTGTCCAGAAGTTAAAAATATGTATGAATTTAATAAAGATTTAATGTAACTCAAGTGCTTAACTCCATTAATGAGAGGGGCCCATTTTGTGTGAAGATGAAAACAGAGGTCTTTCGTTACAAGACCTCTTGCACGTGTTTGGGTCTTGGTGAGGTGATTTTTTACTTTCCTAAAGCACTAATGCCAATGAACAATTATGTGAGAACAGCCAAATGAACACTGGCATACCAAAAACACCAACTCTACAATCAAGCAATTTTCTTTGTTTTTCCACAGAAACAAAGAAAGAAGTCTTACCAAAGTGTGAGATTTATTTGGTGATAAACAGGGAAGACATCCCATACATTCAATGGTTAAATCAGCACACTTAACTTTATGCATGGCCACATTCTCTAAGACCCCCCATAAGGTGATGAGGACCCCCCCATATGGCCAGAACATTTGCCATCAGGGCGAGTTTGGTGACAGTTTTCAGCACACACTGCAGGCTTGGGCTGTTCGGACGCCGGCTTCACTGGAGGCTTGGGCTGCTCGGACGCCGGCTTCACTGGAGGCTTGGGCTGCTCGGACGCCGGCTTCACTGGAGGCTTGGGCTGCTCGGACGCCGGCTTCACTGGAGGCTTGGGCTGTTCGGACGCAGGCTTCACTGGAGGCTTGGGCTGTTCGGACGCAGGCTTCACTGGAGGCTTGGGCTGTTCGGAAGCCGGCTTCACTGGAGGCTTGGGCTGTTCGGACGCAGGCTTCACTGGAGGCTTGGGCTGTTCGGACGCAGGCTTCCGAGGATGGGACGGCACGACGGTCAGCTTCGCCGGACACTGACCGGACACTACAGAAGAGGATTCAAGAGGATAGTTAGGAAAGACCAGGAAGTGCTTTAATAGCTTGTTTCAGCATTTGCAGAACAGGGGTTTTGCAATATGTGCCTCAAACTTTAATAATATTCACATTTATCAGCTTCAAATCAAAGTAGCTTAGACATCTACCATTTATCACTAAACTGCGTCAATTAGTTTCAAAGACTGAGAGTGCCGTTACAACCTATAGTAGGGCGAGTAATAGTACAATGCTGATAGAAAACATGATGCACATCAGTAAATAGGTTGTTGTAACTAAGTGTACTTCAAAAATTGTTATGCCATCCCTCATTCCAAGCATTTTAATAGGCTACACAACACAAAAGTTATAGCTCCCCGTGTTATAGGCTATTGAAGGCATAAATAGTTGTTAAAATAGGGAAAACAATACATGAAGCAGAAGTTTAAATTCAGGATTGATGTCTATGTGGTAACAACTGCGTAAGCATATAGCATGTTCTTGATTTACAGCAAACAAAAATACTATACATTAGAGATTGGATGGGTTTTACTTGTACAATGAAATAAATATGCATAAACTTATGACAGTTTTGCATATTTATACCTTGCTTATTATTGAAACTAAACCACCGTACAAAGTTAAACTTCCACTGGACGTCTGTACTGTACTTTTGTAAACCAATGTGCTGAGATGGGTCCAAGTCATATTTTGTAAGGCACGTTCTTCGGGCTGTGTAATAAACTAAAAGATCTTCTCACCTACGACTCCAGCGTCTGTTGTGCTCAAACATGCAGACAGACACAATAAAACAGCACTAAATGAGCAGTACACTCGAGCTGTCATCCTCACGACCTGCGATCTCACAATCAACTCTGCTAGAAGATGGGCTGAATTAGTGAGTCAGGAGGGGCAGGCAGGGAGAAACACAAACTACAATGAAAAACCGTGCCGCTGCATCAAAATATCTGCTGAATCCCACAACAAACGCTGTAAAAAAAAAAGTGGGGTTTTAAAGATCTTCTTGAAAAAAACGCGTTTTTAAAGATCCAAGGAGGTCTAGGTAACTCCAACCCTGATGATTCTCACCTGCCTGCAGCTTTCTAGTAGCCTAATCTCGAAGACCTTGATTAGCTTGTTCAGGTGTTTGATTAGGATTGGATGTCGTAATAATTAAAGTAATTAGGAGATGATTGAGCGTTTGCCAAAAGAATCTGCAGTGGTCAGGTGGTACAGCGATCAAGTGGTACCAGTCGGAGTAGTAGGCTAGCACAAGTTTTAACCGTAATAAAAAAAAATCCGTTTGAATGTCCACTGCGATATCTTGTCCTTTTAACAGTTAATGGGTTTTCCAGTGCCCTGACACACTAGTCAATTTCCAGTTGCATCTTGCTTCTCTGTGTTCACAAGTTTCAGTCCTTTCAATATAAAAGTCTTCTCTACTGACTGACTCACTCATAAAGACAGTCTTTGCCACCATCTAATGGTGAAATAATGTAACTTCTGTTGCTGTTCAGGGACTATTTTTTCCAGCTGAAGGAAGCCTTTGTGATTTTACTTCATGAAAGTTGCATTGATACATATTTTTTTGGCTTTAATTGTTGCATCGTGTGGTAACTCCGCTTCGCGCCTAACAACACCCTTTAGCCAGGGGCGTAATTTGTGGGGGGGATGGGGGGGGATATAACCCCCCCAATATTTAAATCTATGCATTACAACCCCCCCATTATTTATACCATGATCACAATATCAGGAGGCATACCCAAACTTTAACCCCCCCAATGTTCAAACCAAATCTACGCCCTTGCCTTTAGCCGTGACTTATTTACGATACAGCACAGCCTCTCGTACCTTATTGCTTACATGTTATGTGCTTTGAGACATGAGGTAAATTAAAGGTGACATATTTTGCCCCTTTTCACAAGATGTAATATCTATGGTGTCCTCAGAATGTGTCTGTGAAATTACAGCTCAAAATACAACCCAGATTATTTATTATAGCTTGTCAAAGTTGCCCCTTTTTGGGTGTGAGCAAAAACGCACCATTTTTGTGTGTGTGTCCATTTAAATGCAAATGAGCTGCTGCTCCCCAGCTTCGGATACTCCGTCAATAACAAAACACGCGAATTTCAGACAAATTTCAGAAATAAGTAGCGGAGGGCAGCCTTACGGAGAGACTCAGGAAGAGGTTGCAACTTTTAGACTTAACCTGGACATTTCTGAATGGTTAGTGGATACAGTTATGTAGTTGTTGTGGAGTTATATTGATTCACCTCATCAACTTGCATGTGCCGTCATGTTTAACTTTTACACAAGTTGACAGTTCCCCGAGCTCTTTATAAGACAGCTGTGACATTTTTTGGTCAAATAGTGCTCTGTGCAGCCAACGACAGAACGGTTTGAGTGCTTTGCTCGAACTTTTGCCATTGCGTTAGAACTGGTTTAGAACTCTCATCTCGTGGCGCTTTGCAGACTCTGCTGTGTGAGTTCATGTGTTTTGAAGGAGGTGTGGCTTTGGAAACACTCTGAAGAGGGGGTGGGATCTCACGCTTTCAAAGCTAGCCTGCCATTGCTAGCCTCTCCGCAATTGCCTACCCTACCTTTAAGCAAAACGTAAAATAGTTACGAATTGCTGTGAGATTGTCCAGAAGTTAAAAATATGTATGAATTTAACAAAGATTTAATGTAACTCAAGTGGTTAACTCCATTAATGAGAGGGGCCCATTTTGTGTGAAGATGAAAACAGAGGTCTTTCGTTACAAGACCTCTTGCACGTGTTTGGGTCTTGGTGAGGTGATTTTTTACTTTCCTAAAGCACTAATGCCAATGAACCATTATGTGAGAACAGCCAAATGAACACTGGCATACCAAAAACACCAACTCTACAATCAAGCAATTTTCTTTGTTTTTCCACAGAAACAAAGAAAGAAGTCTTACCAAAGTGTGAGATTTATTTGGTGATAAACAGGGAAGACATCCCATACATTCAATGGTTAAATCAGCACACTTAACTTTATGCATGGCCACATTCTCTAAGACCCCCCATAAGGTGATGAGGACCCCCCCATATGGCCAGAACATTTGCCATCAGGGCGAGTTTGGTGACAGTTTTCAGCACACACTGCAGGCTTCACTGGAGGCTTGGGCTGTTCGGACGCCGGCTTCACTGGAGGCTTGGGCTGCTCGGACGCCGGCTTCACTGGAGGCTTGGGCTGCTCGGACGCCGGCTTCACTGGAGGCTTGGGCTGCTCGGACGCCGGCTTCACTGGAGGCTTGGGCTGCTCGGACGCCGGCTTCACTGGAGGCTTGGGCTGCTCGGACGCCGGCTTCACTGGAGGCTTGGGCTGCTCGGACGCCGGCTTCACTGGAGGCTTGGGCTGCTCGGACGCCGGCTTCACTGGAGGCTTGGGCTGCTCGGACGCCGGCTTCACTGGAGGCTTGGGCTGCTCGGACGCCGGCTTCACTGGAGGCTTGGGCTGCTCGGACGCCGGCTTCACTGGAGGCTTGGGCTGCTCGGACGCCGGCTTCACTGGAGGCTTGGGCTGCTCGTAAGCCGGCTTCACTGGAGGCTTGGGCTGCTCGGACGCCGGCTTCACTGGAGGCTTGGGCTGTTCGGACGCAGGCTTCACTGGAGGCTTGGGCTGTTCGGACGCAGGCTTCACTGGAGGCTTGGGCTGTTCGGACGCCGGCTTCACTGGAGGCTTGGGCTGTTCGGACGCCGGCTTCACTGGAGGCTTGGGCTGTTCGGACGCAGGCTTCACTGGAGGCTTGGGCTGTTCGGACGCAGGCTTCACTGGAGGCTTGGGCTGTTCGGACACAGGCTTCACTGGAGGCTTGGGCTGTTCGGACGCAGGCTTCACTGGAGGCTTGGGCTGTTCGCCGGCAGGCTTCACTGGAGGCTTGGGCTGTTCGCCGGCAGGCTTCACTGGAGGCTTGGGCTGTTCGCCGGCAGGCTTCACGGGAGGTTTGGGCTGTTCGCCGACAGGCTTCACGGGAGGTTTGGGCTTTTCCCCGGCAGGCTTCACTGGAGGCTTGGACTGTTCGCCGGCAGGCTTCACGGGAGACTTGGGCGGTTCGCCGGCAGGCTTCACTGGAGGCTTGGGCTGTTCGCCGGCAGGCTTCAATGGAGGCTTGGGCTGTCCGCCGGCAGGCTTCACTGGAGGCTTGGGCTGTTCGGACGCAGGCTTCACTGGAGGCTTGGACGGATCAGACCCAGGCTTCACTGGAGGCTTGGGCGGTTCAGACGCAGGCTTCACTGGAGGCTTGGGCAGTTCGGCTGCAGGAGTCACTGGAGGATTCGGCAGTTCAGCTGCAGGAGTCAGCGGTTCGGCTGCAGGCGTCACTGGAGGATTCGGCGGCAGTTCGGCTGCAGGCGTCACTGGAGGATTCGGCAGTTCGGCTGCAGGCGTCACTGGAGGATTCGGCAGTTCGGCTGCAGGCGTCACTGGAGGATTCGGCAGTTCAGCTGGAGGCGTCACTGGAGGATTCGGCAGCTCGGCTGGAGGCGTCGGTGGTTCGGCTGTAGCCTTCACTGCATGGATACAGATAATCCGCTTTAGTCAGTCCGTTTAGCGGAATCCAGTCTCAGATTTAGAGCATAAAACACAAATTGCAAGTTTCTTATTTTAAGTATTAATCGTAATCTATTAGTATTGTAAAGCCATCCGGTGCTTGTTCAGCTGAATACTTTTGACACAGAGAATGGTAAAGTAATTAAATCAAACAAGACAAACTGAAATCACGAGAAAGCCGACCCAAACACTAATATAATAACATATCAAATACCTATATATGGAGCCATACACTGATGTCCACATCCATTGCTGCAGCATTTCTCATTGTTCGGACAGTCACTGTCATAGTAACACAACTCGGCACACATTCCTGCTCCAGACTTTGTGCTTGGACACTCCCCTGGCTTTGCTGTTATACAGACACATGACAGAGAAACCACATCACTGAATACTGAATGTCTCATTCACCGCTTAAATAAAGTTGTCAAAGATGATCGGAGTAGTTTTTACAGGAATATTCAGTCTTTCTACTTGGTAGTTTCATGTTTAGTTCAATGTGTTACTTGCGGTTTCTTTGAAATTGTGAAATGTACGTGCAATTTCTGAGTGAAAACTTGTTTATACACCATTTTTTTCAGTGAAGATCTATAGCATCCATCATTAAACTCACTGAAAACAGGCGGCACGCACACAGCCCCACAGGGAAATTGACAGCATTTGTGTCCTCCAGAGCAGTCTCGATCACAAAGACATCCTCGACGGGACGGCACGACGGTCAGCTTCGCCGGACACTGACCGGACACTACAGAAGAGGATTCAAGAGGATAGTTAGGGGAGACCAGGAAGTGCTTTAATAGCTTGTTTCAGCATTTGCAGAACAGGGGTTTTGCAATATGTGCCTCAAACTTTAATAATATTCACATTTATCAGCTTCAAATCAAAGTAGCTTAGACATCTACCATTTATCACTAAACTGCGTCAATTAGTTTCAAAGACTGAGAGTGCCGTTACAACCTATAGTAGGGCGAGTAATAGTACAATGCTAATAGAAAACATGATGCACATCAGTAAATAGGTTGTTGTAACTAAGTGTACTTCAAAAATTGTTATGCCATCCCTCATTCCAAGCATTTTAATAGGCTACACAACACAAAAGTTATAGCTCCCCGTGTTATAGGCTATTGAAGGCATAAATAGTTGTTAAAATAGGGAAAACAAAACATGAAGCAGAAGTTTAAATTCAGGATTGATGTCTATGTGGTAACAACTGCGTAAGCATATAGCATGTTCTTGATTTACAGCAAACAAAAATACTATACATTATGATTAGAGATTGGATGGGTTTTACTTGTACAATGAAATAAATATGCATAAACTTATGACAGTTTTGCATATTTATACCTTGCTTATTATTGAAACTAAACCACCGTACAAAGTTAAACTTCCACTGGACGTCTGTACTGTACTTTTGTAAACCAATGTGCTGAGATGGGTCCAAGTCATATTTTGTAAGGCACGTTCTTCGGGCTGTGTAATAAACTAAAAGATCTTCTCACCTACGACTCCAGCGTCTGTTGTGCTCAAACATGCAGACAGACACAATAAAACAGCACTAAATGAGCAGTACACTCGAGCTGTCATCCTCACGACCTGCGATCTCACAATCACGTCTGCTAGAAGATGGGCTGAATTAGTGAGTCAGGAGGGGCAGGCAGGGAGAAACACAAACTACAATGAAAAACCGTGCCGCTGCATCAAAATATCTGCTGAATCCCACAACAAACGCTGTAAAAAAAAAGTGGGGTTTTAAAGATCTTCTTGAAAAAAACGCGTTTTTAAAGATCCAAGGAGGTCTAGGTAACTCCAACCCTGATGATTCTCACCTGCCTGCAGCTTTCTAGTAGCCTAATCTCGAAGACCTTGATTAGCTTGTTCAGGTGTTTGATTAGGATTGGATGTCGTAATAATTAAAGTAATTAGGAGATGATTGAGCGTTTGCCAAAAGAATCTGCAGTGGTCAGGTGGTACAGCGATCAAGTGGTACCAGTCGGAGTAGTAGGCTAGCACAAGTTTTAACCGTAATAAAAAAAAATCCGTTTGAATGTCCACTGCGATATCTTGTCCTTTTAACAGTTAATGGGTTTTCCAGTGCCCTGACACACTAGTCAATTTCCAGTTGCATCTTGCTTCTCCGTGTTCACAAGTTTCAGTCCTTTCAATATAAAAGTCTTCTCTACTGACTGACTCACTCTTAAAGACAGTCATTGCCACCATCTAATGGTGAAATAATGTAACTTCTGTTGCTGTTCAGGGACTATTTTTTCCAGCTGAAGGAAGCCTTTGTGATTTTACTTCATGAAAGTTGCATTGATACATATTTTTTTGGCTTTAATTGTTGCATCGTGTGGTAACTCCGCTTCGCGCCTAACAACACCCTTTAGCCAGGGGCGTAATTTGTGGGGGGGATGGGGGGGATATAACCCCCCCAATATTTAAATCTATGCATTACAACCCCCCCATTATTTATACCATGATCACAATATCAGGAGGCATACCCAAACTTTAACCCCCCAAATGTTCAAACCAAATCTACGCCCTTGCCTTTAGCCGTGACTTATTTACGATACAGCACAGCCTCTCGTACCTTATTGCTTACATGTTATGTGCTTTGAGACATGAGGTAAATTAAAGGTGACATATTTTGCCCCTTTTCACAAGATGTAATATCTATGGTGTCCTCAAAATGTGTCTGTGAAATTACAGCTCAAAATACAATCCAGATTATTTATTATAGCTTGTCAAAGTTGCCCCTTTTTGGGTGTGAGCAAAAACGCACCATTTTTGTGTGTGTGTCCATTTAAATGCAAATGAGCTGCTGCTCCCCAGCTTCGGATACTCCGTCAATAACAAAACACGCGAATTTCAGACAAATTTCAGAAATAAGTAGCGGAGGGCAGCCTTACGGAGAGACTCAGGAAGAGGTTGCAACTTTTAGACTTAACCTGGACATTTCTGAATGGTTAGTGGATACAGTTATGTAGTTGTTGTGGAGTTATATTGATTCACCTCATCAACTTGCATGTGCCGTCATGTTTAACTTTTACACAAGTTGACAGTTCCCCGAGCTCTTTATAAGACAGCTGTGACATTTTTTGGTCAAATAGTGCTCTGTGCAGCCAACGACAGAACGGTTTGAGTGCTTTGCTCGAACTTTTGCCATTGCGTTAGAACTGGTTTAGAACTCTCATCTCGTGGCGCTTTGCAGACTCTGCTGTGTGAGTTCATGTGTTTTGAAGGAGGTGTGGCTTTGGAAACACTCTGAAGAGGGGGTGGGATCTCACGCTTTCAAAGCTAGCCTGCCATTGCTAGCCTCTCCGCAATTGCCTACCCTACCTTTAAGCAAAACGTAAAATAGTTACGAATTGCTGTGAGATTGTCCAGAAGTTAAAAATATGTATGAATTTAACAAAGATTTAATGTAACTCAAGTGCTTAACTCCATTAATGAGAGGGGCCCATTTTGTGTGAAGATGAAAACAGAGGTCTTTCGTTACAAGACCTCTTGCACGTGTTTGGGTCTTGGTGAGGTGATTTTTTACTTTCCTAAAGCACTAATGCCAATGAACAATTATGTGAGAACAGCCAAATGAACACTGGCATACCAAAAACACCAACTCTACAATCAAGCAATTTTCTTTGTTTTTCCACAGAAACAAAGAAAGAAGTCTTACCAAAGTGTGAGATTTATTTGGTGATAAACAGGGAAGACATCCCATACATTCAATGGTTAAATCAGCACACTTAACTTTATGCATGGCCACATTCTCTAAGACCCCCCATAAGGTGATGAGGACCCCCCCATATGGCCAGAACATTTGCCATCAGGGCGAGTTTGGTGACAGTTTTCAGCACACACTGCAGGCTTGGGCTGTTCGGACGCCGGCTTCACTGGAGGCTTGGGCTGCTCGGACGCCGGCTTCACTGGAGGCTTGGGCTGCTCGGACGCCGGCTTCACTGGAGGCTTGGGCTGCTCGGACGCCGGCTTCACTGGAGGCTTGGGCTGCTCGGACGCCGGCTTCACTGGAGGCTTGGGCTGCTCGGACGCCGGCTTCACTGGAGGCTTGGGCTGCTCGGACGCCGGCTTCACTGGAGGCTTGGGCTGCTCGGACGCCGGCTTCACTGGAGGCTTGGGCTGTTCGGACGCCGGCTTCACTGGAGGCTTGGGCTGTTCGGACGCAGGCTTCACTGGAGGCTTGGGCTGTTCGGACGCAGGCTTCCGAGGACGGGACGGCACGACGGTCATCGATACAGAAATTTGCAGTATCGCCCATCACTAGTTCACGGTCAGGGACTATTTTTTCCAGCTGAAGGAAGCCTTTGTGATTTTACTCCATGAAAGTTGCATTGATACATATTTTTTTGGCTTTAATTGTTGCATCGTGTGGTAACTCCGCTTCGCGTCGTGCCTAACAACACCCTTTAGCCGTGACTTATTTACGATACAGCACAGCCTCTCGTACCTTATTGCTTTCATGTTATGTGCTTTGAGACATGAGGTAAATTAAAGGTGACATATTATGCCCCTTTTCACAAGATGTAATATCTATGGTGTCCTCAGAATGTGTCTGTGAAATTACAGCTCAAAATACAACCCAGATCATTTATTATAGCTTGTCAAAGTTGCCCCTTTTTGGGTGTGAGCAAAAACGCACCATTTTTGTGTGTGTGTCCATTTAAATGCAAATGAGCTGCTGCTCCCCAGCTTCGGATACTAGTGATGGGCGATACTGCAAATTTCTGTATCGATCCGATACCAAGTAAATACAAGGCCAGTATCGCCGATATCGATACCGATACCGATACTTTTTCATTTTAAAAGCATGCATTTGAACTTGTATGCACTTTCCTGTGTGTCATGATTTATGAGGTGAATGCATCATTAATATGCTAAATCTGAACACTTTTTCATGACTACTAGGCCTAAATATTTTGTGATTTGTGCTCTCAACTCCCCTTTAATTAGTCAGTGACTTTTACAAAACTACCCTAATTATAGTACTAGCCTACTAGTACTAGCCTACTGTTCAAAAGTTTGGGGTCTGTAAGATTTTTATTTCTCTTAGTAAAAACTGTAATATTACAATTTAACAATTTAACATAGGCTATCTGTTTTCTATGCCATAGTAAACTGTAATTTATTCATATGATCAAAGGTGAATTTTCGGCATCATTACTCCAGTCATGATGATAATTCATTTTAATATGCTGATTTGCTGCTCAGGAAACATGTCTTATTATTATCAATGTTGAAAACAGTTTCATATTTTGTTGGAAACCATGATACATTTTATGCAGAATTATTTGATAAACAAAGTTGAAAGAACAGCATTTATATGAAGTAGATTTTTTT